AAGCTATAGCCTCCCTAGGATAATCTTCGCGCCCGTGAGATTTATAATATAGAACTCGGCGCGTCGTACCCTTTTTCGACCCTAATAGTCTATCGTGACGATAATTCTATAGGTGGACCTAAGAGTGGTGGCCTTCGTGTGTCCTTCCGTAATCCAGGACACCGGGACCGGGGACCCCTTAGGGACCTAACTAGGTCCTAGGAGGGACCGATCTAAAACGTTAATATCGGCGCCTCCGTTAAACAGAGCCGACGTCTATACCTATTCCTTACCTCGGTGAAGGGAAACGCGTGCCTTTACCGGTATAGTAGTAGTAAAGGGGGTTACTCGAGGTGGGTATTATCCCTAAGGCACTTTACCCGTAACACGGCCGATTATAGGGCGAGAGGTGGATACCGGTTAGGTATTCGGGTTACTATTACTCGAGCGCTATACCTAAGGGCTAGGGTATATAGTAGTGTAATACCCCTTTTAGTTATAGTTATAGTAAGTAATAGAATTAAGGTACGATAATAGTCTAGGGCGTATAGGGTAACTAGGAGCGGAAGCGGGCGTAGAAGCAGGGGCAGAAATAGGGGCAGAAGCAGGGGTATAAGGAGGGCTACTAGTAGAACCGTAGGTGGCCGGAGCGTAGAGGCTATAACCGTGGGTATATAAGCGGAAACGACGTTACTAGGTAGCGGACTAGAAATCTATCCGGCCGACGGCTAACCCGTCGGTAATAGTTAAGGCCTTGGCCCTACAGTATACCGGGGCTAGATCCTGGTAGTCCTTAGGAACCCCTATAGATACTATATAGTCCCGAATAGGTGGGAGGACCCTTATTAGTACTATCTAAATCCTTTACTAGTTTAGGAGCTCGCCCGGTAGTTCCGACTCTAGGGCTTCCCACCGTTATATAAATTTAGCGTAAGACTCCCCCTTTCTTTAGGAGGAGATAAACTCGCTCTAAATCTATACCGCTACCTCTTATAGGCGGGTATCGTTATCGTTAACCTAACAGGATAGCCAGGCCTATAAGGCTACTTAGCTAACCCTATTAGAGTCCCCTACGTATTTATATTATAGTTTAGCCTATTAACGTTCCTTAAGGTGGTGGGGGAGGTATAATATAACGAAGTAGTTCTTCGCGGTGTCCGTGGGAAAGGATTAAGAAACCAGGTCGAACCGCTAGTTAGTCTCCTAGATAAACATACGATACTTAGCCTAGGATACGCTATCCTATTTTAGAAGGGGAAAATTAAACTTAGCCTATATAGCGGATCCGTGTATAGATAATATCGTGGATATATCGTGAGTATACTAGGATCCCGACGGGGTTATAATAATACGACGCCGAGGTTCGGCTATACGATAATAGGTAATATCGGCCGGGCTAGGATTAATAGTAGGATTAATAGTAGCGGCGGCGGTAGCGGCGGTAGCGGTGGCGGCGGTAGTGTCCGCCTTTAGCTTAGTAAGGTACGCGAGCTTACGCTTACGGTAGTTCTATACCTCTATCTATTTAAAGCGTTCGTCTAGTTATTCCTCTATTAGCGTGGCTAGGTTAATATTCGTATACGGGGGCAGGTTAGGGTTATACACGGGTCCTATCGTAGTTATAGGAGGAACGGGGATAGTGATAGGGGCAGAGGTAGTAGCAGAGATAATACTAGCGATAAGAGTAAGTATAGGGGCAGGAACAGGTACCGGTATAGTAATAGAGGTAGGAGTAGCGGGAGTAGTATTAGTTCCCGGCGTATTCCCGTTATATTCCTTATCGGCGTCCTCTATAAAGGCGGTTTCGCTATCGCGCAGCTATCGCTTAAACTAGCTAGTAGCCTCGTCGAAATCAAAGGTAGGATCGTTTATTTCGTGATAGTTAGATATCTTAGTAACTCTCCTTAACAGTCTTCGCGCCCTTAAAGGGTAGAGCGATTAAAATATTAAATAGGTAATCGTAAAGAGTGAAAAGGTAGGGTTAAGTAAGGAACTAGGCATAATCACGATAGGATTACGATAGGGGAAGTATAGGGGTAGCTAAAGAATTAGATTAATCGCTGGCCTCCCTCTTCCTAAGGGAGGCTCCTCCGCTCTTTAAGACTATACTCCGCTACTCCTCGAGGACTACTTTATTTGCTTCCTTAAGAGCTACCTTATTTACTTCAAGGGACTATTCTATTTACTAGTATAATGGCTACTTTATTTATACCTCGAGGGGTCTTAGACTAGGCACGCCTAGACCCCTATAGGTTCACACTGGGGACCCATTGTGACCACTGCTGCAGGCACCTAATAACTTATCTATTAAGGATAATACTTTAGTTCCATGACTAAGCGGCTTATAAGCGATTACCGTATATCGCTATTAGATTCTATAAAGCTACATTAAATATCCTAGCTTAGGACCAGGTATTAATCCCGAGCTATTCTAATACGGTAGAGGTTATATACTAAGCCTTATATATATAGACTAAATAAAGTATCTATATCCTTAAGGTTATTAAAGGGTAAGTATTAAGCGCGATATCCTAATTCTACTTACTAACCTTTATAGATATTATAATTATAATTAGAATCTAGTCTTAAGAGATTTTATAACGTGTTCTCTTTAAATCCCTGGCTCGTAGCGAAATACTAGGATAAACGGCTAGCTTAAGAGTATAATAGATCGGACTAATAAACGATATAATTTTTTATTACACGCCTAAAGTATTACTAACCTTTAACTATTCTAAAACGAAAATATCTTTAGGTTAACACGGATAAAGATAAGGCTTCTCGCGAGCGTTTACGGAGTCGTATAGTAATATCTAGTCGATCTATTTCGAGATTACCTCTTAATCCCCTAAAGGGTTTTAGAGGTTTAAGCTATAATAGTATAGAATTAAATTCGCGAAGCTTTTTAGTAAAAAGTATAAGGAGCGTATCCTTAAGTGGAGTTCCTCTAAAACGCTTATAAAGTTAGCGCGTAAATACTCTGTATAATCTTTACTAATAGCCTATATTAGGGTAGGTTTAAGCTTTATAAGAGTCGTTATCTTTTAATAAAAGGAATCTAGCTCTTAAGGAACGCCGACGCGAAATAGAATAAAGAGATTATTAATTAGAGGCTAAGATTAAAAGGTAAATACGCGAAGATAAGCGGCGGTATAAGCTAGAACTAAGGCGGCTTAATCTTAAGAGAGAACTATTACTAAAATTAAATTAATCGAGTTAGATATAGGCGTTAGGATTATTATTCTTTATTATTATAAGTGTTTAGTAAAACAATAAAAAGCAAGTAAAAAAACGAAAAACAAAACCACTACTAAAAACGCCTTTATATATACTAAGTTATTATTACTAATACCGTAAAAATAATAGCCCGGCGCTATAAAAACGTTTTTAAAATATTTTAAAATAACTATTTACTCTTTATTATTAGGAGTAAAAGGACGCGCCCGATTAACGCGATAATATTAGGGAGGGGGCGGGCAGGGGCGGAAAATTCTAGTAGAAGAGTTACTAGTTTATAGGCTTTAATTCTAGAGTAAGATACTAACTTACTACATACTATTTCCTTATCCGCTATATCCTTATAGCGATATTTAGCCTATAACGTATAAAGATAGTTATAGTAAGGAGGGGGATAGCCTAGGAAATATATACTATTAATAAAATATACTATAGTAAATAGGAAAGGTAATATACTACGACTAATAGAGTTCTACTCTATACACGCCTAGTAGCGCTCTTTATTTTCCTATGCGAAGATATCTAATTTTATATGAAGGATATTAGGCTAAGAAATTAGATATATTAGTAATAGACTCGGGATTATTTCTAAATCGTTTCTAAATAGTATCCTATATTTCTATTAGTATCTTTAGGTATAACCCGAAGATATATATCTTTAGCCACTGCTTTAGCCTTACGAGGAGTATTACGGTTTTTATTTGTCCTTATAGCTAATTTCTTTATAGCCTTATAGTACTACGCGGTAAGGGCGTTATCCCTCGCCTTAAGGGAACCGGAAGTATTAGGGGCGGCCTAAGTATAATAGGTGGTATAGATATATTTTTTAAGGGCGCTAAGTAAAGAAAATTTCGATCGCTATATAGATATAATTAGTTAAAGACTTTAAGTATTCTTATAAATAGAAATAGATTTATATTAAAGTATAATTCGCTATTTTCTTCTATATACCTATAAAAAACCTCTCCTATAGCTATAATTACCTTATTAGGCTTTAAAGAGTATTAGTAAGCTATACTATATTAAATTAGTATATATACTTACTCTATTAGTCTTAAATTCGGGTAAAGTATTATAACGCTTACCGCTATCCTCCCCTTAGATATACTATTAAAAGGTATTAGTCGATTTATAGTTAAAGGGTATATTATTAAAAAACTTTATAGCGGTCTATAAAGGATAATAGGATAATTAGTTTCTAGATAGAAATTATTTCCTAATTATTTTTTAATTATTTCCGATTACCCGTTATTAAAAATCAAAAGATATACCTAATAATAATATAAAATATAAGGAATTTAATATAGTTAATAAAAAAAGTGTATAGGAATTAATATTATAATACCGCTAAAATACTTATTATAAATAAATAGAGTAGTAATAGTAGGAAAAAGGTATAAATAGGTAAAAGAGGGGAAAAGCATAATAACGTGTTTAAATACGACTCGTGAAATTAGCGGAAACGTTTCCCCGTTACCCGAGCTAATCAGAATTCGCCCTATACCTACCCTTAGCTCAGCCACCGAGTTCAACATCAGTTTATATATAACCACACGAATAGGTAAGGTAAGGTACCTCGAGGTTGAGTGGGGTCATACCCGTGCCATAACATCGAGATACGTGTACGACGTATATATACTCGTGTCTCCCAACTCATCGCGAGATCTAACAGGCTAAAACGGAAGAAGAAAAAAGAAGAGAATACATTTATCTTCACGACTCTTCAAACACCTAGATATCACGCCGTCACGAGTCCAACCCGGGGCCATGGTTCACGCGAAACAGACGCAAATAATAACATTAAACTATATTCATTATATCCCGATCCCTAAACTCCCAAATACGAGTCGTCAATCTCTATAAGACCCTCATTATACAGCTCCCTAGCAATGGGATACACGGCCCGGGCAAAGTTGCTCCGCCTTTCCAACACATACCGAGGCGTAATATGATCAAACCCCTTCACTTTATGCCCAAACCGATCAGGGTTAAAGGCATGGAGGAGGTAAGACCGTGACCAGTCCCGCTCCCACTCGGGGAACTCCCCCGGCCTCTCCCACCGGTCCGCAAACCCCTCGTCAAACGCCGGCAACGCATCGCCCTGCGTCACGTTGGCCAGATTCGACGGCGCATCCCCATGCACAGCGAACAGCATATCGTTATCCTCCCCGTTCCAGCTCCCCGGCGCGAACGCCTCCCTCTCCATAATAAGCGCCTCCCCGGGCTCGGCCACCAACCGCTCCGCATACTTAGTGATCACCTCGTTACTATGCGTCGTCCACCCGCCCGTGTACCGCTCGTGCATGCCCGTCTGCCACAGCGTCATCAGCTTCCCGCCCGCCACGGACATGAACACGCCGCTGTTCACCTGCCCGCCGAGCTGCCGCCCCGCCACCGCCCGGAACCCGCTCTCCCGCAGCACCCGCACGTCGCGCAGCGCGTGCACGTCCCAGTCGATGTACACGCCGCCCAGCTCGCGCACCGCCTCGACGCGCACAAAGTCGGATTTATGCTCTAGCCCCTGGATCGCCTTGCCGTTGTTGGCGTGCGTGGGCACGTCGGCGTGGCGCACCTCCAGACCCGGCATGTTGAAGATGAGGTTGTCCCATTTCCCCGAGGTGCCGTTGGTGGCGCGGTCGATGGACGACGCGTGCGCGTTGGTGTGGAGGTAGATCTTTTCGGGCTTCCAGTGCCGCCAGGCTGCGTAGATGGAGAGGTAGTGGCTAAAGTGTAGACCAAAGTCGGATGTCGGGTCGGCGAGGACGTAGACGAAATGCGCCTGGTTGGGAATGTACGTGTATTCTCGGTCGGAGGAGGGGAAGGGAGATGTGTCGGTCTCGTGGGAGGAGGATGTCGGGTTGCCGTTAATGCCTTTGCATAGACTGGCTGTCGCGGCTGCTGGGAGGCGGAAGTGCTGGTCGCTGAGGAGGAGAAAAAAGACGAGGATGACGAGGAGGGCGAGACCAGGGGCCAGAAACTTGAGATGGAGTCTGGTCAGCATTTCAGGCGGCGTCGAGGTTGCTGGGACCGAGACCGCTTTGACAAGTAGGTTTTTGTGTAGGACGGGATCGGAGGTTAATAAGAAGTTGAAGACATGGTCGATCTGCAATGGTAGATGATGTGTACTCCGTAGACCGTGCTCAAAGCAGGACGCGAAACGTCATGAGCGTGCCGTCTTTCCATTCATTCATTCCACCTTTGGATGAAAACGACAAAGGTTCGAATGCCAGGGTAGGAGCGAGAAAAGAGGCAGGAGTCCAAAAAAGAAAGAAAAAATGGGAAGGACTCGGCGCCACTCCTCGCATTATCACTGGACAAGGGGAAACGTCATGTCTCATTCGCCGTTCTCCACGCATCTCCGCCTGACTGCTAGCAGAAAAGGACCGCCAACTCTCGAATGAGAAACATAGGTGACCTGGCAGCCGCCCAGGGCTCGCCGCATACGATGCATGATTTAGGCTCCGACAAGCGCAATAGGCGGCACCCATCTTAAGCTGTTGAAATAGCACCAACGGCATTTCCACGCTGTTGGGGGTCTTTGTATCGTTTCTGTACCACTATTGGCGGGCCGCCCCATTGGTATCGTCTCCTATTAGCCGGGCCGCCCCGCTGTAAGCGCCAGGCAAACTACGGGTGTTCCCCGGTGGTACGTTGTACGTATACCCGCTGGCTGCCCGTTGCGAGTCTAGTCGTGACCGGTGAAGATAAGTCGATGATATATTATGTATCTTGTCCTACAGTCAGTCTCCTGACAGGATCGAGAAAGATCTTCGTTATCCCGCTCACCCATCTCACCACACGTAATGAGCCCAAATATCATTCTTTCAAACTCGGAATCTTCATACTATCCGTCTTGCTGGGAAGATTGATACATAGTAGTGGCTGAGGCTTCAGTTCGGATTGAGCTGCTTCAAGCAATCCCGCGGGCGCCGCCAGACAAACCTCGTCGTCATGGCCTTCACGAACAATGCCGGCGTCTACCTCGGGCCGCTTACAACATCATGGTCCATGCCCGAGTCATGCTCCTTTCACTTCTCGCCATGTTCCACGTGCCAGGAGGGCTTCCGAGGCCAGGCATGTGTTTCCGGGGCGCCCCAAGACCACGCCGGATGTTGGCCACCCACCGTCGAAGGCGTCGCGACGCGGAACCATCCCTTTGTCGGCTGGGGGTTTTACTCTCCCGGTCTCGCTTGTCCCACGGGCTACACATCAGCTTGCACTGCAATCCACGGCCAGTTCCCGGAATGGAATATACAATTTACACTGCGGCCGGGAGAGACCGCTATTGGGTGTTGTCCGACGTAGGTCCCCTTTTCCGTGCTCTTGATAAGGTTCGGCCTACAATGTTTTTGCCTTGCCCTCTGGGCAGCGACACCCCCGAGATTTCTTCCAGATTATATAAGTCTAATGTTACATTCGTCCGCAGGGGATACCAATGCACCAACAGGAACGGCAACACGTGCATCGCCATAGCGTCGACATCAACCGACGTCCCCTCCGCAACATGCGACGGCGCCAATGTGGTCGCCACGACTCTCAAACCATTCCCGGACATCGTCACTGTAAGCCGCACAACAATAGACTCGGACGAGAGCACATCCTCCATCATCACAGGCACTGTGACACGCACCATGACACTCCTCGCGCCCATGTTCCAACTCAACTTTCAGTCTACGGATCTGATAACAACATCTTCGGCTGCAGCCTCCGAAACACCCTCCTCTAAAATACCATCCCCTGAAATACCGTCTTCTAGCGACAGATTGTCGTCTTCACCAGCCGAGCCTCCACAGAGTTCTGGGGGAGTAGGGAGCGAGCAGGACCCTGCCGGTGGCGAGACCGGAGGTCCGTCACTCTCGGGCGGTGCGTGGGCCGGTGTGGCCGTCGGAGCCATGGCCGGGCTTTTACTGGTGGTTGCTGCTGTCGGGTGGTTCATTATCAAGAGGAGGAGAAAGCAGAGACGTCTAAAGAACATGGATGAGGCGGCTCCGGGTGACGCGACCCAACCGGGCGAAGGCGATATGTACGCGGCCTACAAGGCAGCGCCGCCAGTGTACGGTTCTCATGGCGACGGTTATTCGAAGACCAAGGAGCCGATAGAGCTTCCGATCCCCAGCCCGCGACCTGTAGAGCTGCCGGCAGACAGCTGGAGGTGACGGACCTGCATAGTTGCTGCATATTTCAGGGCCATTGAAGGGCACATGCACCTATGCAAAGTCGGTTGCATGTGGGCGCTGGGGAGACGTAGATTCAGTGTTGCACATATATATAACCCACGAAGCATGAACAATACATAATGACAGCTTCAAGTTTTGTTTGATTTACCACTAGGCACTTAATGCCTGTGGAATAGAATAAGCGTTTGTCATGACCTACAAATACAATCTTTACAGAGTGTGTCATGACAGTATCGTATAATGTCGTATAATATGCATCGTACAAGTCCCTTCACCCAGCTTAGATCTCCTTCATCCTAAAATCATCCATCTTCAACCCAGCTTCACCTTCACTCTCACCGACCCGGAGAGGGGATGGGGTTATCCCAAGGCACCACCCCTACAAAAGGCTCCTCCGCCGGCGCGTAGTCCAAGACAAGCGCCTTCTTCACCTTCTTCGCCGCGACCTTACTCACGTGGAACCTCATAAGCCGCTCGTTCGTCAAGAGGTACCGCGCAGCCAACTGATACAACAAGTTCGGCCACGCCTGCAGCCTCCCCGTCACGGCCGACTCCTTCGCGTCAGCCTCGAGCGCCCGGATCCGCAACGCGCGGTACTTCGTAAACAAGCCGTCCAGCGTCTCCGCCGAGGGGACAGAACCGCGCATGCGGCCTTCGACAACCGCCCCACGGAGCAGGTTACACAGCGCCACGATATCCTGCACGCCATTGTTGAACCCCAACCCGGCATTGGGCATGAACTTATGCGCCGCGTCGCCCGCGATCACGATCCTGCCTCCCCAGCTCCACCGCCGCGCGATGCCTTCCTGGAGGTCCGCCATGCCGTGCGTCAGGCGCAACGCGAACGTGTCCCGCACGGTCCGGGTGCCGTCGAGGACAAAGTCGCCAAACAGCCCCGCGAACCGCCCGACGTCCTTCTCTTCGTAGCGGTGCCGCTCGGTCGTCGGTCCCCCGGGCATCTTCTCGTACAGGAACACCCAGGCCCGCTCGATGCCCGTGATGAACATGCAGGAGAGGTCCCGGTGGACCGTGGCGCCGGCCAGCCCGGGGCGTTCGTCTTCGGGCCGCGGGAAGCTGTACCACAGGCAGCGGTAGGTGGCGGGGAAGGGCTGCTCGGGGCCCCATGCGGGTGCGAGGGAAGGGTCGGCGGCGAGGGCGAGCTGGCGCATCAGACGGCGCGTTATGCTGTGCACGCCGTCTACGCCGAGGACGATGGTCCCGGTGTAGGAAGTGCCGTCGGTGCAGGTCACTGTCGCGCCGGAGGCATCGGTGGTGATCTCGGCGACGGACTTGTTGAGGTGGTACCGCTCCTTGGCGTCTTCTGGGAGCGCATCGTACAAGGCCTGGACGAGATGAGCGCGGTGGAATGCGATGAGACCTGAACCGTGACTTTTTTTTTCCGGGTTGGTTTTGTTCGTATTAGCGCGTGGGCGGATCAGGACAAAAGCACGAAACTATTCAAGTGATCGAAATGGTCGTTTTGCGCTCGCTTGGCTTTGCTTACTTCTTTTTTATGAGCGTTGGAAGTGTGGTGTCCTGGTATTTTGTCCCTGTGCGCAGGTAATTTCTTACTCTGTCGACCTCGGCGGAGATGGGTTTGATTCGTTGGTATAGACCCAACTGATGCATGACGCGCAGGCTGGCGGGACCGAGAACCATGCTGGAGCCTTCATCGAGGGCGACGTCGGCCCTCCTTTCGAGCACCACGAAGTTAATGCCGGCTTGGTAAAGGGCGTGGGCGGCCGTGAGACCGTTGGGGCCGCCACCGACGATGATGACCTTGAATTTGTTTGTATGCGCGCCCATTGTGGACGTGCTTCTTCTCTTTTTTTCTTCTTTTTTTCTTCTTTTTTTCTTTTTTCCCTCTCCTCCGCCGCCCCCCTTTGCGTTCTCGTCTTTTCTTCTGCTTCGCAAGTGGTGAATCCCGGATGTGGGGTGGGTCGTGTTCCCGACGTTCTGAATGAGGGTGACGATCGGTGCAGTCAGCGGGACCAAATTCGAGGAACTTGAGGGTCGCAGGGGACAACAGTCTTTACAAGCTGGGCTGCTCAATAGGAAAGATGAGAAAGTGGAATATCTGCAGGGAGGGACTAGAAATATAATACCATCTCGTGAAATAACATGAAGAATTTACACGTATCCTGCGCCTCATATAATTGTTCACTCGTAAGAAGTTAGTCTTAATGCACGACAGACCTGCAGCCAGGTTTAGTACCGGCCAGGGTGGTCCGCTCGATTCCCTGCCGGGCAATACAGAGCACATTCATAGAACGACCAAAGGAGCTCCGTCCGTGCTACAAGTACTACCTCACTGGAAGCCTACGTTACCCAAGGTGGAAACGTTGGGATGAAGAAGGGATGTCAGTCTTCAAGAACAACTGCTAATGAGCAAGTTACATGAAGAGTAATACACAGGAACCTAAACTCGGGCTTTGCGTTATCGGGACAGCCTTCGTCCTACAGATAATCGCATCACGGGCAGGTCACAGAGATCATAATATTTTAGTCAAGGAAGGCTTGACTTTTTAAATTCGGTCACGTCTATCAAAGGTAGCCAAGACGCGCCATGTGCTTGGGACTGGCTGGAGATCGGGGGCTCGGTCAGATGTGAAACGACGGGCTGCGGAAAACCCGGGGTCGACTCCGACTTTAGCCCCGGCAACTTCCGGGGACCGGGGGGCGCACCGAAGGAATGGAGAACACACGGCTACCAGTCAAGGTACCAGCACCTCCGCAACGGCAGGTACCGTTCTGCCGTTTCTCGCGTCCACAGTGTCGCGTTATACGGTACGAATATGTTATCGATTGCACGTTGAATCAAGAGGTACATGTACGCTGTACCGTTCGCTAAGGTACCTACGAAGCAGCCCTCCCTCCCGCTGATTTAGTGCCGTTATTAGTTCAATTTCTCAGGCTCCCCCTCCCGTGAATTCCGGAGCACGACATTAAATCTCGCGCCGTTTTCTAGGCAAAGTATAAATGTATTAAAGTCTATTAATTGTCATCGTTTCGACTATAAAACTTAAATACTAAGAGGAATAACCACGATACAAGGAAACTATAAAAGATTCCGAACATGACAAACATGCAATGGCATTATCGACACTTGTTGCCTGCTCAACGCAAGCCGTCAAGATATGCCGTCTTACCTCGGTCACTTGAAAGAACTTGATTAATACAATTCTAATATCTGTGATGTGATATACGTTTCCCCGAGACTTTCTACGGTATAATTCAGACCCACCGTGTCGCCGGGGAACGGAAGAGAGAGAGGTAGGGGGCGTCGGCCGGTGGGCTTGTCCGACGTTAGACATGCGGATACTAGATAGGTTCCCGGTTCCGGGTTCCCCACTTCTCCGTTCCGTACATGTACACAACGACTGCGGCTTCGCGTGTTACCTATTCCACTGCCGAGTCCCGAAAGCCGACGACATACCAGCTGACCTGCTGGCGAAGGATCATGATACGACTCTCATGGATATACAGTATACTCGACCCCCTCTCATTTCCTCCTGTTTCACGGCAAGGCTATGCATAAACAAGGTAAATCAATATAGATCAAGCAAACATGTGAAGTGATGTGGATTTCGGCATAAATTGTAATACCCTATGGCCGTACTGCCGTGACACGCGACACTTTCTTCAGTGATCGACCCGAGTTCTTTCCACTTTAACGACGGAGCGCTTACACCTGTAGAGTGTAGGGAGAGAGAAAGCGGCAGTCAGGCCGTCTTTGCTCCGCGCAATTGACGACGGGGTGACAAAGCGAGTGCCGATCACGAACCCGTTCGAGCGGGTATGCGGCGACGTTATTGGATTTTTACCCGGTTGCGCCGACTGATCGGCACTTCGCTACAGATGATCGTCATCGTCGTCTCACTATCACGGTGCATGGGGCTTCCATGCGCTGGGTTTGGTGCCCCTTTCCTAACTGCCGACGTTCCACTGTGCGCTTGGCTGCAATCTATCTGGATATTGTCCCCCTCATCGTCGCATCCCCCCCCCGAACAGGATCACGGCACACCTTCGACGACGAACCCTGACTGCGTTGTGGGCAAGACAAGTTTCATGTTGGGGATGGGGGACTGGCACCCTGGAGATGTTCGCCACAGACTACCAGAAAGACAAGCGCCTCTTTGTGAGTCGTGCGGATATGCGACTACTCTCCAGACTCTGGGGTCGGAAGAGGGAACATGAAATCCACGAATATATAAGGGAGTGATGGATTGCCCTCGTCGATTAACGTTATGAATCTTCCCGCTCATCAAGCTCATCTCCCGCTTACACTCCATCCTCATCTCTTTTACCCCAAACCACGGTCCACCAGCCAAGGGGGAAAAAAAGACGAAAAAAAAAAGAAGAAAAAAAAAAAGCCCCAGCCGTCAACATGACCAAGTTCAGCACCATCGCGGCCGGCGCCCTCTGGGGCCTCCTGACGGCATCAACGGCCTCAGCCCACTACGTCTACAGCATCCTGATCGTCGACGGCCAGCAGACGCCCGACTGGCAGTACATCCGGCAAAACAGCAACAACATCCAGCCGCACAAGGAATTCCTGGTCGGGCCGTCCAACGACTTCCGGTGCAACGCCGGGTCGCAGAACAGCGCGCACAACACCGAAGTGGCGACCATCGGGCCCGGCACGCGGCTCGGCTTCAAGCTATGGAATAACGGCCAAATCCTGCACCCGGGCCCCATGACCATCCACATGTCGCGCGCGCCCGGCGACGTGCGCGACTACGACGGCAGCGGCGACTGGTTCAAGGTGTACGAGGACATTATCTGCGGCCCGCAGTACCCGCTCCGCGATACCGACTGGTGCAGCTGGGACCAGGCCGTCGTCGAGTTCACGGTGCCCCATAGCACCCCGCCCGGCCAGTACCTCGTCCGGGTCGAGCATATCGCCCTGCACGGCGCCGAGAGCGGCGATACCGAGTTCTACTTTACTTGCGCGCAGGTCGAGGTTACGGGTAATGGGAACGGGAACCCGGGCCCGCTGGTGCAGATCCCTGGCCTTTATGATCCTAATGACCCTGCCCTTCGCTTCTTCATCTATGGCGCCCAGGCGTACCCTTATAACCAGGTCGGTGCCCACACCGTCTGGTCGGGCTAGGGGTGGAAGGGATGAGACGAACGTTTTGGTTTCTGTCTCTTTATTCCCGTCCTCGGTCCTCCTAGAGAAGCTCGGATGATCGGACCTATTCACTTTCTTTGGGGATATTTTTCAACTTTCATGTCCATAGCTTCTTTAGAGAGCATAACCCCATTTCCGTTTCGTTCCTCGCATTGGACTGGAGATTGGGACGGGTTCCTCTCATGTACATAACATTGAAATGTGCCAGTCGAGCCAATTCTTCGCTGGGCCCAAAGGCCCCAGTGCCTTTTCAACGCATGCGCCCACAGTGAACAGCTGAAACCGGTTTTCTATAAATGACGTGACGTGGTTCGTTTCCATTTCGACTTGAGATTTGCGGGTACATGTATTTACACATGCATGTATTTGATCGGATCGGTGTAGCTGACTTACATGTACGGTTTACCTATTGGACAAGCATGTGATGGAGACAGAGAACATGAAGGGTCCAATCCGATTAGGAACGGCTATACGGCCACCTGGATAACAATGAAATAATTCACTGGGACGTTCTTCTGTCCACCGACCCTTCTCTACGGAGGTGCTGAAGAGGCGAATCCGCGCGACGTTGGCTTTACACCCGTATACGGTATATCAGCAGCTCGAAATCTTAGAGACTTGGGGGTGGGGGATTAATTCGTCGCAGTTGCGCACGATTGTCCATCTTGACGTCGTTGGTCCCACGGAGATCGGAGATTATTAGAGAAGGAAAAGCGTCAACACCTCGCAGTGTTGGCCACATGTGGGTATATTATATATCGGGTCTCGGTCTGGGCGTGGAGGGAGGGGGGCGTGAAGGAGTTGAGGTCTTCACAAAAGGGAGAAGGATTGTCTGGCTCCTAAAGTCTTGCTTCCTTTCTTTTTTTTTTTTTCTTGCCTTTATTTCCCTCATTCTTCCAAAGTTCCATCCGGGTCTCTTGCGGGTCAAAACCACGCCAGCTGCCGTCTGTGATCAAGAGAGGAAACAGGTCACACGACTCACACCCACACCATCGAGTGTTGAGTGTTGCTTTGCACTGTTGTGACGCTGTCTTCATCGTCGTCGACTCGTCGTCAACCAAGAGAGTGAGATTGAGATTCATCACAGAGAGCTCGCCGCAACTCCGCCCATCATGGATGGTCGCCTTCCCCCAATACGACTGGATCCTCGCCATCACAAGCATCGCCTTCTGCGGCAGCTCGTTCGGAAACGGCGCCAACGATGTCGCTAGCGCGCGATCCCCTTCTACCTCGCCTTCACCGGCGCCGTGCTAGCCCTGTTTATCACCATCGAGGCCCCCGGCGCCCCTAGCCTGGAGGAACTCGGTGCCGGTACGGCCTCGGGTATCGTCCTGGGCACCTTCGCCGGTATTCTCGTTATTTCCTACATTTTCTTCCGGCCCTACTTTCACCGCGTCGTCATCCTCCAGGGCCCCCGTATCCGTCCCTGGCACATCCCCCTGGGGCCTTTGCTCTGGAGGGACGACCCGCCTTTGTACTTCCCCGGCAAGGGAGACTCCATCGTGCGAGACTACTACTTGAGCGCCCACAGCGATTCCTCGGAGCCGCCGGAACATGACGACCCTAGTGACCCCAAGGCGCTTTCCAAGTCGGACAACGCCCAGTTAGTGTCCGACGGCGTCGGCGGCGGCGACGACTCGGTGACCGAGAAAAAGGTCGACCCCGAGACTCCCCACACTCACGGTATCAAGAACAGCAACGAAAAAGGACGGGATCACGCCACGGCTTTGGGTACTGCCAGCAGCAGCAGCAGCAGCAGTGCGACAACACCGCCAGCCCCGGCCCTCGAAGACGTCGAGCGCGGCCATATCATCCGCCGCCGCCGCGCCCGCAAGCCCGAGCCCGAAGAGCGGTTCCTCGCCCCGACAGCCCACCTGTCCATCTACCACCCGCGGCGGCAGTGGAGCTTAGTCAAGTACTTCCTCCTGCAAGGCGTGACGCGGGACTACGTGACGCACGAGTCGCTAGCGCTAGCGGCGGTGCACGGGCGGGCGAAGCAGTACCATAACCGCGTCGAGCACCTGTGGACGTACGCGCAGGTGGCGAGCGCCATCATGATGTCTATCGCCCACGGGTCTAACGACGTGGCTAACGCGGTAGGCCTATGGGTAGCCTCGTATCAGGTCTACCTCGACGGCGAGGTCACGGACAACGTCCGCACGCCGGTATAGATTCTCGTCATCGCCGGTTTCCTCCTCGGCGCCGGCTTCTGGTTTATAGGCCACTATATTATTAGGGCGCTCGGGAATAAGATCACGCAGCTAAGCCCTACGCGTGGTTACGCCATGGAGCTGGGCGCCGCTATTACGGTGTTGTTGGCTAGCAGGCTCGGGTTACCCGTGAGCACCACGCAGTGTCTGACGGGTGCCGTAGTCGGTGTGGCCTTGATAAATCTGGACACCGGGGCTATGAACTGGCGCCAGCTGGGGTGGGTCTTTGGCGGCTGGATTCTGACCTTGCCTGCTGCCGGTCTAATATCCGGGTTGTTGACCGTCATGGCCCTCAATGCCCCGCAGTTTCGGTGAGGAAGAGTTCAAGTTGTCAAAAGACTACATGTAGACTCTGTCAAGTCTGTCGAGTCTGTCCTGACACCTGAGGTTAAAGATTGAATGAAAATCCTAGATATGGGGCGCAAAGGAGGGTTGGTACGAGCGAAATGAATAATGTTCGCATCATGTCAGCATACAATTGATGTCTTTCGATAGAGGTATAGACTCGTGTTAATACTGATGCTCGTTTGTCATGACTCTCGTCCCCGTTATGTCTCAGCAGGGAAGGAAGCACAAGACCCAAGGAAGTAGGTAGTTGAGCAGGCCTATTCTCTCGCAACTCAGGAGAAAGCTGACCGAGCTTGGGCGAAGCATCGCGGATGATTCTCGTGATTCAGGTCCAAAGCATCCAGACATCTTGGACATGCACATGGGAAGACGGCGTAGGGTACCCGTGCTGGCAAGTTGAGACTTATATCCTTCGGCTTAGCTTGGGTTCAGAGTTGAGTGAAACAGAGGAGATTGCTTGCTTGACTGCATGGTGCGTTGCATTGCGTCTGAGCGTACGATTCTCGTCTCGATTCTTCATTCGAGTCCGATTTTCACCAAGAGAAACCGAAGACTATTCGTAGATAAAATGCATGTGGTTTGCGATTATCAGTTCGAGCTTTAAGTTACCGACTTTGATTCAATTCCGTTGCGTCCAAGGCCGATGAGAGTTGCCGGCGTTCGTGACGGTGACGGACATAGGTACCGAAGTACTTTGTACTTTGCACAGATGCACCCGAGCGTGAACAATAGGGTTAGGGAGCAAGAACCAGTTCGGGTTAACGACCAATAGTGTCTGGGCGGGATAATCTCGGCTCGTTCGAGTGCGAGACGCTAACCGAGTCTAATCCGGTCTAACCCGGTCGGGGACGACGGGTCATGCCACGAGTCGGCCCCTGCGTCAGGTTGTCGGAGTTCTTTGGTGGGGAAACGGAACCAATCGCGGGAGACGCGGCTCGAGAAAGGTACCTTGTACTTCGCATGTTGCGTGCAGTATTACGAAGTACCTATGTACGTTGTACTGCACAGAGGAGTTTTTCCCCCTCCTCTACCTTACGTATCCATGTAATTACAGAGTATTGATACAACAGCTCGACCTACAATGTACGGACAAGTCGAGCTTGAAAATAACGAGAACCATAACGAGAACCATTATAGTACGACACACTACTTCGTTCACCTCCTCCCATTCTCTCCCTATAAAATAGGAATAGTCTCTGAGCAATTTACCACCAGCTACCGGACGCTCGGGCTCTACACAGTACGAAGTTCTTCATAGTTCTACCTACTAACTACTAACTTCTGTACCAGACACCATGGCACCACGACTACCTAGACAAGGAAGGTGGGTGAGGGCACGCATCGCAAAATCGTATGCATGCACGAACTGACGAACTGACAGACCCAGTTGTTCGTCAACAGAGTCGAAGAAAGATGAATCCTCAGCCCAGGGGGAAAGAACCCCGGAACCCACCTGAGGTGGGGGAAAGACCTGCATTCAGAATCTATAGCCCTGTCTGGCCCTTGTCTATGCTAATTAGCTAGTCCGAAACCGAGTCGAAAACCCCTGTCCATCTTCTCTAAAGAGGGGGAAGAAACACGCCAAGAGAGCGACGGGGGGGGCAACCGCTACGGAAGTCGAGTCGAGATACAACGTATCCATCTCTCGATCCGTGCAGATAGAAGCTCACTCTCTAACTGGATGGTTGATGGACCGTTCGTCGACGGGACGCAATAGCTGCATGGATCCCTCGTCGAATTCGTCCACTCGTCCACATTTTGGTGTCCTTCTATGCAGCTGCGCAGGCCCAACATCAGTGTCCCCCAGTGTCCCCGTGTCGCAGCGTTGCGCCCCTATTCCCCATTTCCCTATTCCCCGTTCACCAAACCCAAAGGAAGAAAGAGAGGGAAAAAAATCCAGCCTCTTTTTTTCCTTCTCCTCTCCTTCCAGACTCGATCTTTGCCGGCTCTCCTCGTCCATTCGTTTCTTTCCCCTCATTCCTACCCGCCTCCAGCCTTCACTCTATCCAGTCCTTTGGCCCCTACTCCTCCTCTTCCTCACCCTCCTTTTTCCCGTCGTCCTATTCTTCGGCCCTTCGACTCCGTCTTCCTCAACCAACCACTCTCATTCCACCAGACCCAAAACTGTCAACCAAGAGTCGCAAGACCCGGCGTTTTCGACCACGTCCTGCCCGCCCATTCGTCCATTCGACAAAACACTCTACCCATCTCGGTATCCTATTATCTAGAACACCACTGTGCTACCACCGCAGCCAGCAAAATCATTTCCCAGACGCATCTTGTCTCTTTAGACACCATTCGGCCGCTCCTTCAACCGAAATCATCATCGTCATCCTCCAACGAACGTATACGAAGTGACATTCAAACCGCAAGCGCACAGGAAGACAGCTCCGTCATACACATTCCACCCTCAAACTCATTCCCTCTTGAGAATTGGGCTTCATTCCCCCCCCGAAGGACTCTAAGGACCAAGAGGAATACAACTGTCAACCGGCTTCCTTCATCTGCATCCTACCGCCCTCCGCTCTAAACGAATTCACCACCGCATCCCAAACATTGAAATTACAATGGCACCCGGTGGCTTCTTCGACCGCCTCCAGGCTTCGATCCAGCAGAAGATCGAGCTCTTCCGCCTCGAGCAGCGTTACACCCGCCGCCGCCACCGCCGCTCCACCTTCATCTCCAACGCCGTCTACGTCGACGGCGAGTACGTCTACCAGACCCCCAACAGCACCGGCTCCTCCTCCACTTCCTCCGATCCTCCTTCCGCCCGCGTCGACGCCCTTCATCAGTCCGAGCCCGAGGCCGCCGCCTATGCCGCCGCCGCTGCGAAGGAGAAGCGGTTGAGCCGTCGTCTATCCAGCTTGGCCATGCCGCGGAGGTGATTGCCTCACCTTTCGCGCCCTTTTTTTCTTTCTCTGCTCCTTCGTCGGTGGTTGGGGCCGACGGGACGCATCCTGGGCCATGAAGCGCCGTTCTTCTCCCGGTTTTGCATTCTCCTCTTAGCTTGGGAGCTTGCCATTTTTCTCTTTTTTTTCTTCTCTCTCTTTCTCCGTCTTTTACCATTTCATCTGGGCATATATCCCTCGCACGCGCTTGATTCAAGCTAGCGATTTACTTTTTTTTATTTTCCTATTATTTTTGGGCATACGTCACGGATAGAAGACCGCACCGGCCTTGGCCTCGGAAAGTGCGCAACAAGAAACAGCAAAAGGACAGGAAAAAAAAAATTAACTGCAACGACGCCGATGACTATCAAAACCGACCGACTTTTTTCGCTTAAGCAACTTTTGCTGGCATGGCAAATGTAGTCATGAGACGAGACACCCACCCGCACGATCATCACGTCAGTCATTCGCCCAGCCCTCAACAGACTTGTCGTCTCATTCTTTTTATTTTTCCTTCATTCCATTCTGTACATGCATGTGGGCTTTCATCATGTTGTCAACCCCAGGCGAGGAAGCTACGGCAGAAAGTCCAAATGACCACAGGACGGCTGAGGGATCCCATGTTGCTTTTTTCTTCTTCCCACTTACTTCCCTGGGGGCTGGGCTAGGTGATGCCATGGACCCGATGTACCCGGGAGTGAATCGGGATACATGGCTCGCTGCACCAGCCTTCCCTTGCATTTTCATTTTGAGAATATTTGTTTTTGTAATCTGTGCTGGCTAGTAGGGGATCCCTCGCTGCCGTTCCTGGACGCCTCGCCGCCTGTGCGAGGGGGTTGGGACGGACAGGAAGGAAGAAAAGGAGTCCTGGCCAACCATGCCACGAGCAAACCCTGGAAGATGGGCCGGACGTCGGCATTCTTATGCTGTTACATAGGCATGTACGGAGTGGTATCGCTGTCCAGCATCGGATACGGCGTATCACGGGTGGGCCGAGGCAAAACCAAGCAAGCATGTGACTTGCTTTGCCAATACAAACATGATGTGACCAATTCATCAGCGTATTGTGAATATATCCCTGACTCCTCCTGAAGTTGGAAGCTCGATTGACGTCTTTCGCCTGGCAGATGAGGCATCCCATCTGCGAGACGTTGAAGGATGGTTTTATAACCGCGCCATTGCGGCGCCGTGCCGCCGGCCCAACATGATACATGTAAGTCTCGTCTCGGGTATCTTCATGTTTGGTCCGACGTACCTTGATTCGGAGGCCAATGTCAGATGTCGACGTCTCGCCGATCCGTGAGCCTCCGAAATGTGGGGACTTACGGACCGGATATCGGGAACGACGATAGTGCCTGTACCTCGTGCTAGGGCCAAGGGCCTCTTCGACCCAGTACTTCGTCTTGCATGCACGTGTGTTCAGCCGTACTTCGTAAGCGGGTCGTCAGCTCGTCAAGTGTAACTCTATCTGCAATTGTGTGGCCGCTTGGGCTCGACTCTCACGCCGCCACCACATGCGAAGATGCGTGTCGATGCGGCAGCCGAGCTATCGGGTTCTCCCACCAAAGCTGCCGTGCGTGACGGTGCGTCTCGCGTCCTAGATATCATAGGAACTTGGAACTTGGATCCATCCACGACCCTAGCCGTACTCGTTTACCCGTGAGGCAGCGTGAGGCAGCGTGACACTGTGTCCCCTTTATCATCAAAGGGACGACATGCTTGACGTACGCCCAGATACTGTTGCTCGGCTCAAATCTCTTCGAGTCGAGCCTCGTCCGCCCATCACACACTGCCTGATTCCGTTCCCCGTCGCACAACAGGTCGCGAGACCTCCGTGGGATTAGCACAAACCCAGTAGCTCGGAAGCCGAACGTTTCTCAGCCCTCCGCGATTTCACATTCAAATCTCACAGATACGCTCACTCTCTCGATCGCACTCTATCCTTGGAAATCCTTTTCAAACGAGCAAGCAAGTTGAGCCCTTGCGTAAACCATCCACCATCGCCAATCCAGAGCTGGGCTGCGTAACATGGCGTACCACCACCTCATCACGCGCAACCTCAAGCCGATCACCCTCGCGGCCATGTTCCACAGCACCCCCATCGCCCTCTTCTTCCCCCACGACCCCGAGTACGCCTTCTGGGTCAACTGCGTCTCCGTCGCCCTGCTGGCCCTCTTCCTGCGCCTCCTCCTCGCCTTCCGGCCCGCGCTGGAGAGGACCGTGTGGTCGGTCGCTGCGCTGCGGGCGACTCTGAGAGTAGGCCCCGTCCCCCGAGAGGGCGATGATGGTGGTGATGATGATGGTGGTGGTGGTGGTGGTGGTGAATCTGGTCGTGATGAGGATGATGATGATGATGATGATGTCGAGTTCCGCGGAACTGATGATCCAACTGCGAAACAGAGGCACAGTGTTAGGACGCTGCCTTGGGCCTTGAAGCCCTTTGGCACTGCACCGCTGAGCCACGTCGACGAGGCTGCGCGGATTTCCATCCTGCGCGCTCGCCGTGCTATGTATGAGGTTCTCATTGCCTTTGTGGGGTACCTGGTGTGAGTCTTGGTTCTGGTTCTCCCTTGCCTCGCTTCCACCAAACTCCTTTGACTCTCTCGATTTGCTTATAGACTGCAGTCCTGGCTAATCAACTGAAACAGTTTCATTTCGATATTGTCATTGAATATCGCTTACTTCGTTTCGGCACTCGTTGGTCTTTTCTTCGGGAATCTCATGATAGGCAGGGATGATATTGACGAAAGTAACCCTCCGCCAGCTCATTTCCAGTCCTACAGTCGTCGGCGATAGGTCAGCTGCTATTTTGCTGTGCTTTTCAAGGAGCAGATACAAACATGAAGGTACCATGAATTCTCTTGCTGTCAGGGGACGTGGTTGGGACTAGAAGGAGAGAAAATGGGTTCCTTGTCAAAGAAGGAATGGGGTTATAAATCGGCAGAGGGCTTTGCGGATATGATGGGATATCTTCATTGTTCGCTCTCTGCCTTCTCCCGGCGTATGTCTTTTTACTTTAACGGCGGAATATCTCTGTTTTCGAGGATGCTAGGCGGGGTTGTCTCATTTATCTTCAGGACCATGGCCTATAATAATTTCTCTGGGAGTAGACAGTCAGACTCTGACTGTCTGGGTTATGATATTATCACTACAGACGGAACTATTACGTCGGCAACCGCCATGTTTGAGATGCTCTCGACGTCACAGGAGTCGCCAATACATTCTGAAATATGAAAAGTCTCTACTATAGATGTTGCGGCTATAAGTCAGCTTCCGTTGAGTCCACTGGAAACGACATCACAAGACAGCCGCCAAATGGTTTTGCGTCTCATATGACAAGTCCGCTAATAAAAAAAACATACGGATGCTATGCTGTTCCGTTTGAGCTCAAGGTCTTTAGAACTGCAGAGATATAGCTCTAAAACGTGGTGCTAAACCTTGCCAAGGTTGTCACCAGTTAGTAGTTACTGCATGTGTCTATTTGGCATGCTACGCGATGAAGCGACAAACCACGCAACACGAAATCAAACTGAGCTAGGTATGATAGCATCAAGGCTTTCGTTATTTTCCTTCTTCACAACACGTCCACTGCCCCAAATATATTCTTGGTAAATTTCGCTTTCTTGCTCGTCCCGGATGTCGACTTTTAACTACCGAGTTTGTACTCAACAACTTGACGCCCAGTGGTTGTCAAACAAACGTATCTTGATTCTTCGCTAGAAGATATGGGAAGTTTTGGAAAACTCGCTTAACACCCCCTCGGCAAGTCATTTGTCCAAGGGCTGTGAGATCCATAAAGGACAACGTGTGCTTGCGATCCCTAGGTTGCCGCCCTCCAACAAGAGTCAATGCCAACGTCGTGAACCTAGCTCGCATGGAAAGTAGATGGCCACTATTGGTCTATAAAGCGAGCCCATTGGCAACTGATGAAGACTGGACGTCTCGAATGGGGAGATATTTCGAAACATCAAAAGACTTGCAAATGTCGCCTTACCAGTCCCTATTATAACTCTACTAGGCTACGACAACTACGTCGAAACTCAATAACCATTATTACTGAATTAGTTATAACACACCCCTGACGGAGTTACGACCACACCCGAAAGTGGACCATATGGGGAATATGGAGTGTCTCTCACAGAAGTCACATAGTCATATACTGCCTATAAAGCAGATGGTGATCCGACGATCGATGCAAGTAATAGGTATTCTATGGTGGACTCGACAGTTATCTGTGCGTACCTTAAATATTGCCCCCCCTGTAAACCTGTATCCAGGAACATTTGATCACTATAAGCCTTGCTCAATCCATGCGAGCGGCTATATCATGGCTTTTCGGGGGGGCCTCTGGATCTTTCCTCGGCCTCCTCCTCCTCCTCCTCAATCTCCTCCTTTACCTCCTCGCCCTCGTGGTTAAACAATGTTTCCTGGGCTGCACACGTTTGTCAGCAAATGAAGGGGTCAAAAAGGAAATCAGCCGCACAGGTAAGACTTACCACTCCAGAGCTCGGCATAGGGGCCTCCCCTATCAATAAGCTCTCGATGCGTGCCCATCTCGGCCACCGCCCCCTCCTTCAGCACAATAATGAGGTCCGCGTCAAAGATGGTCCGCAGCCTATGTGCGACAAAGACGCTAGTCCTTGCCTTCTCCCGGAGAATGCTGTTAATGTTGGCCATCAGGGCCTGCTCGGTATGGGTATCCAGGGCACTCGTCGCCTCGTCGAAGAAGAGGAGGGGAGGGTCCTTGAGCAGCAGCCTGCTAACGGCCAGCCGCTGCTTCTCGCCGCCCGAGATCATCAAGCCCCGCTCGCCCACCTTGGTCTGGTAGCCGTCGGGGAAGCTCTGGACGATCTCGTGGATGTGGGCGCGTTGGGCGGCCGCGATGACGCGGTCCTTGGGCGCCGACAGGTTCCCGTACCGGATGTTGTGCTCGATGGTGTCGTTGAAGAGCGGCGTGTCCTGGGGCACGACGCCGATGGACTCGCGGAGGGAGTCGAGCTTCACGGACTTGATGTCCTGGCCGTCGATGCTGATGCGGCCCGACTGGGCGTCGTAGTAGCGGAAGAGGAGCCGGAGGAGGGTGGACTTGCCGCAGCCGCTGGGGCCGACGACGGCGACCTTCTTCCCGGCGGGGATGGTGAGGCACAGATTGCGCAGGATGGGCCGGTCGGGATGGTAGCCGAAGGTCACGTTTTCGAATTTGATCTCGCCGCCCTTGGAGAGGACGAGGGGTTGGGCGCTGGGGTCGTCTTTGATGGTGACGTTGACCTTTTGCAGGTTGAAGAGCGTCTCCATGTCGAGCAGGGATTGTCTCAGCTCCCGGTAGACGGAGCCCAGGAAGTTGAGGGGCACGGAGAGCTGGAAGACGAGCTGGTTGACCATGACAAGATCGCCCACGGTCAACGTGCCCTTGGCGACTCCGTCTGCGGCCAGGTACATCATGGCGGTCAGCGCCGAAGAGAAGATGATGCTCTGACCGCTGTTCAGGAAGGCCAGGGAGGTGGCGACCTTGATGGAGCTCTTCTCGTAGGCCAGCAGGGCGGAGTCATAGCGGGAGATCTCGAACTTCTCGTTGTTGAAGTACTTGACGGCCTCGTAGTTGATCAGCGAGTCGACGGCGACGGTCGACGCCTTGTTGTCGGCGGCGTTGGCCTGGCGCCTGAACTTGGTCCGCCAGGAGGTCGTCCAGATGGTGAAGGCCGTGTAGGCAGCCATGGTGACGGCGGTGATGGCGGCGAACTTGGCGCCGTACTGCCAGGTCAGGATGCCGCAGACCATGGAGATCTCCAAGGCGGTGGGGAAGATGTGGAAGACCATGCTCGTCAGGAGGAAGCTGATCCCCTTGGTACCGCGGTCGATGGCTCGGGTCAGGCCGCCCGTCTGCTTGGAGAGGTGGAAGCTGAGGTCGAGGCGGAGGAGGTGGTCGAAGACGTTCCGGGCGACGTTCCGGATGGCCTTTTGCGCGACGGAGGCGAAGACGGCATTGCGGAGTTCTTGGAAGACGGTGGCGCCGATACGGGTGGCGCCGTAGGCCAGGACCATGGTCCCCGCGATCGTGGCAGCGGTGGCTCCGGTGCCGGAAACGTCGATGTTCATGGCATCGACGATGTTCTTGAAGTAGAACGGCACCTGTACGTTGAGCACTTTCGCGCCCACTAGCAACGACACAGCGAGACCGACACGGAGCTTGGTGTTGAGGTTGTCCTTGGGCCATAGGTATCTCGACATCTCTTTCATGATTGCCCAGTCAGCTGTGCGCTGCTCCTGCGCTGTCTTCTCCGTCGTCGCGAGAGGGTCGGCCGACGGTTTCTTGGGGGAACCCATCATCGATGGGGTATGGGGTTGTCTCTTAGATCCATGGCCGGGTTTCTTCGTCTCGTCAAGGTGGCTATTCGGCGGGTCGTTTCGGTACGACTGAAAGAAGCGCACCGAGGATGGAGATATGGGGGAGTATTGGCGAAGTCGTGCCGAGCCGACTCGCGGGGCGTAGGTAGCAGCGAGACCTGCCCGACAGGCAAGGCATATCATACGCGGCATGGTGTGTTATCTGTGCTCCCGTTCACCGGCCGGCCTATCATCGTGTGCCGGGCACTCTACGCGGCGACGGATTCGTTCCAGCCGACGTTCCAGCGCGGGCTGGGGGCAAAGCTGGGCACAAAGCTGGGCTCAAAGCAAGGCGGCGTGGCAGAAAGCGGGGCACGAGAACCGGAGCCCCGGACCTGAAAGATCAATGTGAACGACGGATCAAGCAGCAAGTTGCCGAGAGAGGAAGAATTGGTGCGAGGCGACAAGCATAATTTCCAGGCAGCAAATGACGGTGAAAAAGGGAAAAGATGGAATAGATGCGGGTGGGTTGGTGGAGGAGGTCCGATGTGCGAGCCTCCAGCCTGCAGCCTGCATCTTCAACGGTTTGAGGTGTGGAGCTTTGGCTAGCCGATGATGCAATTGGCTCGGACACCGGTCTGAATTTTCTCCGAACCCCTCGGATTCCGAAGGTCGCCATTGACCAATCGTGGTTGTTAACGGGATTAGTAAACAATGAGTGGGCGTTTCGGTGCCTGATAAGATAAAGAGTAGTCTGACTGCTTCGCGACGGCTCTAGGCATACGTGTACCGGTACTTCGTACAACGAACTAATAAGGTAGCACTCAATATCTCGGAAGAACAACATTCTATGTCTCTACAGAAAATCCAATCCATTGCTAAGCACTTACCGTCATCACGCTTGTCCGTCGCTCCCTACATGAATATCGACCCTTCGTTCAATAATTGCCATCCAAGCAAGATATATTATACGAGCACATTTTCGATCCGGATTGTTGGCCGTGGCATAATTACCCAGGCTACCTGTCTGGAGCTGAAAGTCTGAATACTGGCGGAATGTGTCTTGGATCTCCGGATGAATGCTGGCGCATTCGGGATTTCGACTTTACGAGCTTCTCTCGGATCAGCCTCCACTCGGATCAAGATTTTTTGAGACTCATGCATACACATTGTCTGACGAAGTCCCGAAGGCTCGTAAGGCCGAGTATAGGGCTTTCCACCTATCACGGAGTAGAGGAATCGACCAAGGTCAAACTGGCAGGGGAAAAGAAAACCCGGACATTGTTGTCCACGTATTTGTACGAAAATATACCAAAAGGTAAAAAGTTCGGAGACTGCGACTAACTGTGAAAGGTATCGAAGAATTGCCCGGGAGACTGGACTGGGACGAGGGGCGGAGGACCGACCTGCACCCCACGATCGATTCATGGTACTTACATTGTGTTCCGCCATTAATAGAATAGGTACCTATGTAATAACTTCGTTTCATTCTTATTTGTTTTTATTTGCTTTTATATTTTTCCGGTTAGAAGCTGCTCAGTCCTGACTTGGCTACGGCAGGTGTCGCTCCGTCCGTCCAGATCTGGGCAACCGAAAGCGCCAAATCATTATAATTGCCTAATCGACAAGCGAAGGAGAACAAGAACAAGATGTTTCGTATTGTCTCATTCATCGAAGACTAATATAATGGTATGTACTTTATTCGTACTGTTGTTGTTGTTGTCTATTCCATTTTGAATATTGTACACGACTCTGATGAACCATCTGATGGCTAAACAACTTAGCCTTCAACACATGCAGCTTAGCCATGAACACCATCACGCCTGCGTAGAACAGGATTTGTGTTCGTTCCAGAGCTAAACACAACATCCAATCCATTCTCAGTAATCCCGCAAGTCTTGGCCGGCAATGTTACCCTGGCACTTCTTTTATGCGCCTGGATCTGGGGTCGGTTGCGAATTCTCCAGCGGTCCATCCCCCGCATCGAGCCCACGCGACGGACGACCTGGTTTCCGTCTCTTATGGTACAATATGCCGGGGCCCATGTGAGTTATTGCCAAGCCTCATTTAAGCTTGGTGGCACTCCATCCCGTCATCTTATGTTTCGGAAAGACAACGGAGGAACCTCTTTGCAACCTCTACGTGGTATATGCTCCGCGTCCCAAGACATGCACATCCCCACGACCACGGTGCCGTCTCAGTCTCCAGCTTGCATTGCAGTTGGCGGGGAACAAGGACAACGGCTCTGAACACTGCGAGAAATACAAGGCACCAACACCAACAAGGGCGATGTCGCCGAGGCCAACTCCATTGGTGGGACTTGAAAGTTGAAACCCCCCTTCGGGATGGTGGACCAAGGCAATGCGTGTCCCGTTCAGGACAACAGCACCCGGACCCAAAGTTGGCCGCCCCGTGGGTCGAAGTATGAATATATAGAGGCCGACGATCAATACCTCGGGTTGTCAGTCTGATAGTTGGCTCATCCTTCTCCTCAACCAGATCTTTCCCCCCGCAAAGATCGACAGGGTTTGCATCCTTGGCCACATTTGTACCCCAAGTTTTTACGTTCCGACTGTCCGGGACCATCAAGGCAAAAACAAAATGCACTCCAAGACCGCTGTCTTGCTCGCCCTCCTCGGAGGCGCAACGGCCCAACAGGCTGCCTGGGGCCAGTGCGGAGGTACCGGCTGGGGCGGACCCTATACTTGCGTCTCCGGTATGTTCCCCGATTCTCCCTCCCTCCCTTGAGAAGTCAAGACGAAAGCAAAATGGTCTGACAACGTAACAGGTTACACCTGCCAGGTCCAGAATGAGTGGTACTCGCAGTGTGTTCCTGGCAGCGGCGGCAGCCCGCCACCGTCGACACCACCACCACCGCCGCCGCCGCCCACCGGCGGCAACACCTGCGGCACCGCTGCCATTAACCAGCTCGTCGGATTCGGCGCCGGAACTACGGGTGGTGGTAGCGGCAACGGCGTCACCGTCACCAACTGCAGCCAGTTCCGCTCCGCCGTGGCCAACCGCGGTGTCATCCGCGTCTCCGGCATCCTGAACGGTTGCGGTCATGTCGACATTCTCTCCGACACCAGCATCATCGGCGTGGGTGCCAACTCCGGTGAGTTCACCTTTTATTCTTTCAATGTCTGCATGTGGTTCTTTCATTCAGGCCTTCCTTCCCCACCTCGTCCAACTTGACTGAATCATGCCTCGCTTACTGACACTCACTTACACGCCGACCAAGGCTTCAGCAACTCCAGCTTGCGAATCCGCAGGAACAACAACGTCATCATCCGCAACATCCGCATGAAGACCCCTGATTCTGGCGGTGACCTCATCGAGCTCGACACCGCCACTCGGGTCTGGGTCGACCACTGCGATCTCTCCAACGACGGTATCGTCGGAGACAAGGACCGCTACGACGGTCTCTTTGACATGAAGGCCGGCTCTGACCTGGTCACCGTCTCCTGGACCAAGTTGCACGACCACGTAAGTCAATCCTCTTTGCGCCGTGTCCTTTGCAGGGGTTTATTTTTTTAATTTTTAATTTTTATTTTTTTACAACAACACCTGCTAACCAAGATGACTCTCTCCCTCCAAACAGTGGAAGGGATCGCTCGTCGGCCATTCCGACAACAACGGCGACCAGGACCGCGGCAAGCTGCGCGTCACCTACCACCACAACCACTTCTACAACGTCAACTCGCGCCTGCCCTCCATGCGCTTCGGCACCCTCCACGTCTACAGCTCCTGCTACGAGAACAACCCGGCCTCCGGCGTCAACTCGCGCATGGGCGCCCAGACCCTCGTCGAGCAGTCGCACTTCGTCAACACCCGCCGCGCCATCGTCACCAACCTCGACAGCGCCCAGGCCGGTTTCGCCACCTCGCGCAACAACATCTTCCAGAACAGCGACACTGCCATCACGCAGACCAGCAACTTCTCTCCCCCTTATGGCTACACGTGAGTCAACCCTAAACCTTCTGGCCTTCTGCAATCAATTATCAAAGGGGGCAAAGATCAAGGACGCATTGCTGACAAGGGAACCCGTTCATCTTAGTACCGACCCTGCCTCGTGCGTCTGCGACCTCGTCAAGTCTCGGGCCGGCACCGGTGTCATTGCCTAAGTGGTGGAAGAATTGGGCACTGTATGCCACATGCCTATCCCGCCTTTGTTGTAGCCCCTGGCCGTGACAACGCCGGTCTCGTTGTTCTCTTCTGGGCAACTAGTTCTCTCTCGAAATGTCCATCGGCCTTAACGAGTTTCTCTCCCCTTTCTGAGTTTCTTCTTTTTAGTGAAAGTCTCTCCGTGTCGTAAAAAATGTCAATGCCTCTGCCTCTGCCTCTAACCATGTGTCAAACTTCTCTCTTTGAGTTGATAAATTCTTCGTCTCCCTGACAAATGTTTATCTATCATTCCACATCCTGTCTTAGTGCTCAGAAAGTGAATGAGATTGTCGTCTTCCATGCAAGTCCAGAGGGCTCAGGGGTATCCCACAATACAAGTCACAGACGGAAGCCGAGTGAAGCAGAAACATGTCAAGAACTCGCACGTCGAGCCCCCTGGACCTCCGTTCTTAGACAGCTATTTCTGCGATATAACGGTAGTGACGGGATGCCAATTCATGACCACAGGGTAAGACACACAAAGCGGACGCATACCGATAGCGTCAAACCGTGCGTGTACCATGACACTCTCCCATTTCGCCACCAGCAACTACCGCAGAGTGACAGTCTCACGATCATCACCCGACGTATCTACCGTCGGGGCCCATCTGGGCTATAGGCAATCCCCTCGAGGTCACTGGTCTATAGGCCTGGTAGTGGTTGCCGTACACTGGGGCGACAGGCTGGAGAGTCTGCGGCATAGGCGGAAGTGGCTCGCCTTGTTTCTCGCTGTAGTAACCAGTCATACCCGCATCATTCTGCTCCGTGTCGTGCGCAATGAGTACTCTGCTCATGATACGAGATGTACGGATCGACTGAGGTCGAGCAGCAGAGGGTACGGGAGGCGCTTCGACGTCTGGCTTATTCTTGTGCATCTTCTTGTAGATGAAAACGCCAATGGCGATGAGCACGGCGAGAATCCCTGAACAGATCGAATTAGACGATCCGAAATATGCAGAGATATTTCAGGGGCGGAGAGAGACGACATGGACGTAGGACTAACCTATAATTCCAAACGTTATACCCACGGCCACGCCACGGTCGGCGTCACCTCCTGTCGGGGCTGGTGTGGTCGATGGCTGATCGGCACCTTGTGCGTCTCCAGTAGGACTGGACGATACTTGATTGGGGGCGATGGAAGTCGAGTCGGGTATTGTTGTTGTAGACGAGCTCCCAGACGTAGGTTGGACGGCATTGGTCTCCGTGGTCGTGACTGGTGACTGGCTGGAAGTAGGAGCGGGGCCAGGGGGGACAAGACCCGTCGGGGGAGCTATCTCGGCAGATGGGACAGGCCTATTGACATCGACAACCGGCGGCAAAGGAAAGGTTGTCGCTGTAGGTTCTACGGGGACCGGGGCGTTGGCTGCGGGTGGTTGGATTGTCGCTGTTGGGATAGAAGGTGCCGAGACGAGGAATGTCGTGATCGGCCTGATGGGGGGGAGCAGAGCATCATCGGCATCGCCACCGGGGAAGTTTCCCGCAGGTTGCTCAGGAGCAGGCTGTTGACCAGCGGGGGGTTCTGCAATAGGAGGCGGAACCTCCACCCCAGGCACAGAAGGTGTCCCTTGCGACGGGAGACGGGTTGTCGGGGTTGAAGGGGGCGTCTGAGATGGGGGCAGACTGGGCAGTGTTTGATCATCCTCCGAGTCGGATGCCGAGTCAGAGTCACTCAATTCCGCGATGTTTTCCCCAGGAGGAGCACCTGGGGGCAGCTGACGACGAGGCAAGTCATGCCGAGGGCGGCTGAGAAATTTAGGAGACGTCCTCCTTGCTTGCCGCTGCCTAGTTTAAACGAAGTGATAATCTGGTGTCAGTGAACGAAATCGGTCCGAAAGATGGGCTCTTGGGTGCGTACCGAAGAGTCATTGTGCAGTGCTGGTCGGCTCTGACGAAGGAGAGGACGAGCAGAGATCAGGCACACGAGTAGTATACTCAACTCTCTTCAGGTGCAGCTCTGCAGACACGGACTGTGGAAACCTAACCTGAAAACAAAATCGAAGAAAGAAATGAAGAGACGGGGATGATGCAAACAAAGGAAATGTGACCAAGTACAGTCCAGCTGTCAGAATATTGTGTCTTTGGTTCAGGAAAATAACAGTCCAGGGGAAAAGGGGTAAAATGTCAAAAGAAAAACACAAAAAAAACTGTATAACACCCGCAAGAACTATCGAAACACAGAACCAAACTTGAACCAGAAAACACCAAGCCTAGAGAACAGAGAGAGTAAAAGGCCAAGCTCGGGAGAGAGGAGCTATTTTTTAATATGGAAGATCAACAAGGAGTCGACAACAAACAGATCAGGACCCAGGGGGACACGCCGCACCATAGCCCCAAACCAGCGGCCAGCCCTTCGTTTCTGCTTTTCCTACGCGAGTCGGTCTCATTTTCATCCCAAGTTTTGATCTCAGTTGCCTAGGTCGAAGAGTACGTGGTGTCAGAGACTTGTTGATCACCATGGAATGCATGTGAGTTGCTATACGTTGTACAACCCGAACTTTTGAGACGTTGTTGTCGCATCATTCCATCAGGACAAGGGCCCAAGCGGGATTTGTACCTGTTGTCTCTTCATCTTATCATTGATCTTATCGACTCGTCGTTAGGCGCTGACTAAGGAGATCGTCGTTGTTTGAAACAGGAGATTTCTAGCCAGACCTCCCGGGCTCCCACTTTCCTTCCGCTTTACCACGTTAGTCTCATGCCTTGAAATTGACTGGCGAGACATGTTTCGTTTCCGCCCTCATTTCCTCCGATTGTACGAGCCGAGGCATATCAGAGAATGCAAACAGACATCATATGAATTGCATTGTCAACGTGTCGCTTCTAAAAAACGCGAAAGTTGCGAAAATGGACATTTTTTTTTAATAGGGGAAAGACGTAAGGCCCCGTTCGACGACGTCTCCAACTTAGTAAATCCCACCAACTTGGCAAAAAAATGCATAACCCATGACCCACCGATGGCATAAGAACCCCTTTTGTATGATATTTTCAGTGTAACTGCATTTTTTATGCATCCATCTCTTATACCCCTATTATCTAGGTACCACGCTAGGCAGGGGTCTATTAATTCGAGTTTTTCACTAAATTAGCTGGTTTTATATAGGAGGACCTAGTGGAAAAAAAACACACGAATAACGCAGTTTTCCACTAAAAATATGCTCCGTAATCAGCCGCGCCGTGTGTGGTAAGGCTAACGATACTATCGCTACTTAATAAGACGACGATACTATCCCCGAGCTCGATATACTAGTCCTGATATTAATCCTTTAACGACCTGAAGTATAATAACGCCTCTAGGGGCGTAAAAATACCTCTTGGCGTAATCTTAGGAATAATCCTGCTATCACGTTAAGTATCATAAGGGGGGTTATAGTCGGCTCTAATATCGTGTTCCGGGATCTATTCCGACTAAGTTAGCTCGAATTTCACCGCTTAATAGGATAGAGTATAACGAACGGCACTATTAGAGAGACCTCTTACTATATAAAAACGCAGAAGGTTATACTCTTTCTTTATATTATCGGTTATAGCGTGTCCCTGTGTAATATATACCGCCGCTTTAAGTTATCGTTGAATACGGGATCGCGTATCTTTAACGAGGTCCTAGATACGATACGTTGGCTTTATATCGAATACGTTAAGCACCCTCTATAGCGATATGTATCGCGATATGTCGAATGATCGCGATGTAATAATTAGTTTAACGGTTATATTAGAGTAATCGATAGCACCTATATCGCGGCGTGGGTGCTACCTAATATATAATAGCGGTTCTATCATTGGAAAGGATAACTTACTTAAAATATCCTCGCGGTAGTCGATTTTAGCCTCTTATTCACGTATATCCTAGCTAGGGCTAAGGGGAGTATAAACGACGTATCGTTGCTTCGCGAGGCTTTAGCTTAAGGGTCTTTCTATATACCTGATAGGAGGTTCTACCTCGTAGATAGTAGGTTTACTAACGATATATGAGGTATTATTACCCCGTTTAACGGCGAGAGGTACTATCTTTAAGACTTCTCTGAAATAGAATAGAAGCGGCTATCGTTAAAGGAGCGCTTTAACCGCCTCCACGCAGGCCACCGTAGTGCTATTAAGCGTGTTTTTAGGGTACTAAAGAGGTCCTTCCTTATCCTCGGCGGAAAAGCACCCGAATATAGCCTTAAAAAGCAGATCGTAATCGTGTACGCGGTAACGGGGATCTAGAACTTTATTAGGGCTATACATAACTAGCAGATAACGTTAATAATAACCGTGCCTAGAGGGTATACTAAAGAGGAGGAAGAGCAGCTATTATAGCTTACCGCGGAGCGTGCCGATTATAATATCGGCACTAAAGGTGGACTGGAAATAAGATATCAGATAGCTAAAATGATAGAATAGTAGTGGTAGTAGGTATAGAAAAGAGGTTATTATAGAAAAGAGTCTTAATATCGATATAATATTAACTACCACGTTAATCTTAAGAGGCAGGAGTAGTCGATAAGATAAAGCTCTACCCCGTACTATTCCTATTTAGGTAGGCGGTAAACACCTTTAGCTAATTAAAACGCGTAAAAATAAGGCTTAGTTAGAATCCAGGTCCACCGTAAGGCTGCGCCTGCCGCTACCACCCTTACCACCCTTACCACCCTTACCACCCTTACCACCTTTACCACCTTTACTACTATTACCACCACCTCGATAAATAGCTATTATTTTTATAAAACCGTACTTCTTTAAAAACGCCCTCTTTTCCTCTTTTCTTAACGCGTTAAATAGCGTTACTAGGTTAGGGTGTTAAGTAATAAACTCTCCTACTATAATAATACTATTAACGCCGCCTAATTCGTTAAAGAAATCACGCTAATAATCGGTAATAGCGTTAGTAAACGGCTTCGCGTTTTACCGCGCCGCTAACGTAAATAGCCCGGCTATTAGAGGATTTATAGGTGCGTTTTCCCTCCTACGGTAGCGCCGTGGAGCGTTATCTAAGATATCGTTATAAGGGATAGGCGAGCTTATTACGTTACTATTATTAGCATCCTATTATTACTGCTTAGTCTACTTAGTATGGTTACTAGCCGGCGGCGTTAATACCGATTTCTAACGCTTACGTTATTAGTCTAGCTTTTACACGTTAACGATATTTTAGTCTATCGCGATAGTATTAGGCTAAATAAGCTTTAATAGGCTATTAATCTATCGCACGCCTCCGCGCCTCCGAATACGCGAGCCGATATCGCCGTATTTAGCCTCGAAAACGTCCTATGACTTATCGGTCGTATCGATTATACCGGTCTTATTATCGTAGTTATTAATACCGGACTTATGAATAAGGGTTAGGGCTGCTTATAGCTCTTTTTCTGTGCGATTAAGCTTTATTATTATCGCGTTAACTGATAGGTTAGCCGTGGGATATACTTCCTTTATTTCAGATAGGATTATGGTTAAGATCTGCTTTCTAGCTAACCTCTTATTACTTATAGCGAATAGGGCGTTATTATAACGCGTAGTAATTAATAGCTCGAAGAGTCGGTATTCGATATAGTCCTTTTATACCGCCCGGTTAGACTTTTTACTAGACGGAGGCGTATCGACTTCGGGCCCTGAGGCACCCTCTAAGGTGGTATATTAAGTATTTATGCCCTTTTCGGATACGTCGCTATCGCTGGAGGCGTTTAGATCGACGGTATCTTAGGTGGACTCCTTATCCGTAACCCGGTTATTATTCGAATCAGGTATATTACTAAGAGACCCGTATATAATGTCCTCCACACTAATAGAACCTAGAGACGCTATATCGATGTATATTAGGGTCGTCGTGATATTCTATAATAGTAAGAAGTGGTGGTTTCCTATATCTAAAAGACTATACCCCGTATCACGGATCGGCTTAATATTTTACCGATATAACTCTCTTATTTTATATATAAAAAGATATATCAACGCTAAGCGACTACGTCAGGATAGTGCCTTAGCTAGCATTATTACTTTTATAAAATCGTGGTGAGTTTTTACTAAGTTGATAAAATTATCGAACGGGGCCTAAGTTGCGTGCGCTACTCCTTTCGGCGTCTTTCCTGTCGCATGGGCAGGACCACGATATGGTCTATAGGGGATCCAGGGAGAATCCACTCTATAACTAAGGGCTCCGGATATCGGGGACTTTAGGTATCAGGATATAATAAGGGTGGATACCGGAAAAGACCGGATAGGATCTAAATAATATAGTACCCATAACAGAGTCTTCACCACCTAAATTAAGGGTATAAGAGACTCTCCTAGATATAACTTAATATAATACATACACACGAGATTTCTGCTCTACTAAGTTAATCATTTAAGTGCCTATTTAATATACGATAGTTATAAGCCCGGTTTATAACGCCTAAACGATAGATATTAATAAGGCTACCCCTATTCCACTATAAAGAAGTAATCACGTCTATATAAGCACTCTTAAATAACTACTATCGACCTAATTAGAGTAATTAAAAGACTAATTAACCTATCTATTAATTAACTAACCGATAAACGATAATCTAGTAAGGATATCTTCTAACGTATCTAATGCCGAATAGAAGGCGGCCGCTACTACCCTTATTAACTAGAAGGATTAGGCAGTTTAGGAGCGCGCCGTACACGGTAAATCGGCCTCCTACTAGGATAACTACCTTAATCCAAATCTAAGCGATAAGGAGGCTAACGCCTATCTCCTCCCTATACCTATACCTCCTAATATTCGTAAATACGAAGCCCTCGCCGCGGACCCTAATACGGAGGAGGCCACGGCCACCACCGTCACGGCTACTCCGTCTTCCACTATCACGCTAAAGGGCGATAAGGCCACGGATACTATGGACGCCGCCGCCACGGCCGCTCGCCGGAAGGCTACGGCTATAACGAAAAAACTAATAACCAGGACGCCCACATCTATTAATAACCTCTCTAAAAAGGGGCGCACGCGCTACCTATAAGATCGCCGTATATACCGCGAGGAGAAGGCAGACTATAACGCGTAGTAGAAAGAGTTTAATGAGGCACGCTCCTATATCAAAGGGACCGTGTACACCACGTTACATAACCTCCTCGCCTAGCTATAGGATAATACCGTAAATAACCCGCGGGCCTAGATTACTCTCCTACACGTGCATGCAGGACTAATATCTATAGACCTCCGTAAGGAAGCCCTAGTCCTATACTAACGATACACCACGCCTATAA